ATACACACACAGACACACACATCCCTCCTGCTGTTCCCTGGACACATCATATATGCAGATTGCAAAGCGGTGCAGGCTCTTTGATGTGCATAGAACAGAATTCTAGATGTGTTTTATATAACCACTCGAGAGGGAAGGAAGAAAGAGTCGAAGAGGATTACCGTCAAAACTTTCCCTGTTTCCTTTTGTCTGCCTGCGTCTCTACCTTTTCATGTCTGCCATGTCAAACTGGAAGTGTGCCTGTTTCTGTCTTTCTATACCTCCTCCTCAGACTCTCTCTTTTTTCTCTTTCTGTGCCTTTTCGATACTTCACTCTGTTCTTTCTGAAATCCGGGGAGGCCTCGCTGCTGGAGTCTGTCTCAAAGAAAATGTAGGTCATCTGTTTTCAGCGACTCCCTTCACACCAACACGGAGGAGGAGATGGAAGTGATAACATCTTTCTCTGCACCCCCCCTCCTCCTCTTCCTCCATTTTCCTTGCACCTTGAATGAGACACTTAAGGGGCTCCCTGCGCTCTACCTGTGCCCTCCCCCCATGGACGCTCTCAGTACACACCTGGCTGACTGACAGCTCCACGTCTCTGAGCCTTTCACTTTCTGCTAAGTCATGCAGGGACAGCACTTGACAAGAAGATTTCTTTTTCAAGGGGAGATTTAAGAAACACCACTCCTGCAGTTTGCTTACTCCGCTCCGAACACAGCATTGACAGCTCACTCTGTTGCATTACTCTCTGATTTGGTTTATTTGCAGCACAGTGCCCAGTTCTAACCAAATCAAGCTTCTTGTTTACTGCCTGAGTTTGGTAACTTGTGACCCAATGATGTTGATTCTACCCTCTGTATGTTAGGACAAACATAACTGACTTTCTATTCAAGATCATTTAATAACATACGAGAAAAAAAACTTTATTTTTTACATGTGCTATAATTTGTGACTAATGACAGCAAAGAAAAAGACACAGTGTCCTGCCGGCAGTGCATGGTAAGTATACTCATTTATCTGAGTTTTAAAAAAGCAACAGGAAATGATATAATATGATTAAAAGTTGGTGTTGACCTCCAGAGAATTTTGTTATTTATTCTCCATAATTGTTGAATTAAATCCTTGTCTATAATTTACAGTTACACAGAAAGACAGATTGTATATCTAGCATCAGCTGACTGAGCTGTGTTATAATGGTGCTGAAAAACTAAATTCTAATTGAATTTTCGCCAAATAACTTTATGATATCAGTTATTTGGAATTAACTGAATGTGCACAAACTGATTGTCATAATGAGTACCACATTACAATTTCCTTTCTTGAAAATTAACAGGAAACAGTGCATTGAAATAAAGTGTTGAATATGATGATTGGTCCATGTGGTGTTACCCTGTATTATGCTTGCTTTCCAAACATGTGTACCTGCTGGCTACCAGATGTAAACATCTACTTCCTTGTACCCTAAAACCCCTGTCCATATATCTGTTTGTGTTGATGTTGTTGTATTTTCCTGAAGTCAAGGCTGGATTAACTCACTAGGGAGCCCAGTATCCTTTTTTCCCTTTAAGCACCCATCAGGTGCACACATCAGATGATACATGGCAGCTTCATTATACTTACCCCACATACCTAGAAACTAACCAGGGTTTTTATTTTGGAGTTCCTTTCTATCCAACATTTGCTGTGTATCAGTTAGTTTTGGGTCATTTGCTTCAACACAAATTAGCTTGGCCCAAAAAAGCAGACAGACACAGTTAGTGAATGGCCTGTGAACACAGTGGTGCGTTTAGTGTCTAAAGATTGAAATATTTCCTTCAGTGGTTGGTCGAGACCAAAAACACAGCTAATAGAGAGTGAAGATGGGCTTACATTCATCCGCTGGCCAGAGACATGACTCTAAATGAACGCAAATGTTGTTTCTGCTGGATATGTAAATCTAAAACTGTTTGCCACTAAGTTTTGCAACTTAAAAGGTGATAATATGTAAATGTTGCGTTAATAACTTGTTTCTGCTTCTCCCAAACAGCCAAAAATATATAATATATACATACATACATATGGAAAATGTGATTTTTTTCTTTTTCTTACTTATTTATTAATTAATCTATTTGTTTATTTTTGCTGTGAGTTAGATGAGAAGGTCACATCAGGTCAACACTCTAATGTCTGTACAGTAACTATGAAGCTATAGCCAGCTTCTGGTTAGCTTAGCTTCACACAAAGACTGGAAATGGGGAAACAGATAACCTGCTCTAAAAAAGGACAAAATGAACATATTATTTCTTAGTTGTTTAGTGAGCTTTCGAGGTGATTGTAAGTAGATTGTGTTAGATAGCTGTTTCCACCTGTTTCTAGCCTGTATGCTAAAGAAAGCTAATCGGCAGCTGGACTCATATTTACAATACAGAGGATGTGTGACCGTAGTATTAATGACCTCATCTTG